ATGAAAACGTATTTTCTAAAATCCTTATTTTATTACTTTTATATTATTACTTTGTGGGGGAAAATATTAGCTTATAGTCTAACTGGGAGTTTCCTTTAAATATTTTTGACACGACGAAAATTTTGATACGACCCCTTTTTCAGCTTAAAATTCGTCGACACTACCACACCAAAGTGTAAACTTAGAAAAGTGAGCAGTGCTCTGATGTTAACAAGAGAATTAATGAACGAGAAACCAGAAACTAGTTTTTCTTTCCTATTGAGCAGCTATGACGATTTTTTACCCTCATTCTTTCTCGTTGATTTTGTGTATCTTTCTCCCCCTTTTTTACATAACATTTTTTTTCAACGAGTTTAATCATTTTTCTTTCATCGATATTTTTTTTCTTAATTTTATTTTTGAAGGAACCTAAGTGTACAAAGAAGAAGAAAATTTTTAAACGTGGCTATGCGTGGTGGAATTCATTAGCGACTTTGATTCCATAAATTTTACTGCGTTGGTTCTAGACTAGCTATTAACACTGATAAAAGAAAAAATCGAAAAGATCCAATTTTTTTAAAGAAAAGTTAGAAATATTAACATTTTAAAATGAGGTAAACTGAAAAATGAAATCAAATAAAAGCAAGTTGCTTAATTTAAGACACAGCTATTTCATTAGATTTAGTAATCTATTTTTTCACCTTCTTATTCAAGCTGAGTATAATACTAACTACTATTTAAAAAGTTTTTCGATTAGTTATGAACAAAAGACATTTATTTAATCATATAATTTTCATAATGGATAAAAGTTTCTTTTAAAACAGCAGGGCATTATTTTTTAAAGCAAAATTTCATAAAAGAAATATACATTTTTATTAATTAAAGACGTTAGTATACATAGCTAAAGATCCCAAGTTTAAAAACCAATAGAAGATTTTAAAAATAGAGTAACGATAGACATAAAGGGATGGAAATATGCTGCTTGCTGCCTTCTGCTTTGGGAACTAATAAGTTATCACCGACTTTGAAAATTAGTTACACTGCTCATCAACAGATAGAGCTGCTGATTAGGAAAAAATACTATTAAACTAAGTTGTTAAAATAATCATTATTTTAAACGTCTAAGTGAAACAAGTCAATGTAAGAAACTGTGCAATTTTAACTCCTTCCGTTTTTAAATGCATTTTCAAACTACCGGTCATTTTTGATAGACTCGATAATTGAATTGCATGCATGTTGAGAATCATGTAATGATGCAGGTCGAGAATCATTTTAAAAATATTTAATTTTTTAATTTTAAGAACATCCTAGGCTAAGTTTAAAGCGTAGAATATAATTAACGATGTGACTTTACATAAAATAATTGTTGTGGGAAAACGTTTTTTGTAAACAGCTTCTGATAGCTGTATTTTTTCACAGCCTGATTTTATTCAGTTTCTTAAAATGTATTTTAAAAGTATTTTTTTAATAGGAGATTTTGCAGAAAGGGGATATTAAAAATACTCAAATATGCAAATTAATTAGTGCATACCATATTTTAAGTTACAAAATCAGACACAAAATCGTACTTTCTCTGAATAAACATACTCTGAAGAAAGAAAGGTGTAATTTTGAATAGCATATTACAAAGTTTGATCGAAATTGGTTGAATATTTTTTTTAGAAATCGAATTTTAAAGAAGTCAAATATTTAAAATTAGGTTTCTCCAAACTATTCTGCCAATTTCGCACAAATTTTGTATTTTGCTAGGCTTTTAAAATGACGTAAAAAAATGTGTACCTTACAATACAAAATGTTTTGACTTTAATTAAATAAAATACGATAAATTAACAAATATTTACTAAAATTAATTTTTTTTTGCTTTAAATTACCTTTGAATAAACGAATTTTATAACTGTGCGCAAAAGTTTTTCAATTCGCTTAAGAAAAATCTCGAGATATGGCGAAATAAGCTAAAAGTAAAATTAACACTAAGGGTTTCGAACTTTTGATCGCCCTTCTGACCAAAATATGTGAACCATGTTTCCCAGATTGCGGCTACCCCCTATATGTTGGAAGTCAGAAACCCGAATCTGTCCTAAAAGAAACGACATGTTTATTCAGAGAAAGTACATTTTGTGTCTGATGTCGTAACTTAAAATATCACCTGCACTATTTAATTTGCATATTTGATGATCATCCTGTCGAACCATTACGATTGTGTCCTAAAACGTGAAGATCCGATCAGTAGATCAAAAGATATTAAGGGCTGTCCATTTTTTTTCGAACACTGTACGTATACTGCGGTTAAGTGGTCTTGTGGAAGGGTATACTATACTATGGTTAAAATTGAACGGTGCCATGGTCAATATTGAATACTTTATGGTTGCCAAAATCTTAAGCATTATTATGATTCAAAGAATATACATTAAGCGTCAATTTTGAATGAATTATACTGAGAGTGAGTCATTTTATGAATATAGCATGGATATTGTTTAAACCATAAACACTCAGAACGTGTATGGTTTCGATGGTTTATTTGTCAATTAGTTAAATCTAACGATTTCGATATCGCAAAAGATAAATCTCGCACTCAAAACTGTTTTCAGAAATATTATTAAGTGTTAAAATAAAACAATCAAACAAAGTTTAAAAAGCAGCGCAAAGAAAACACCCACTGAAACGAAGAAGTCTACAACTTATTGGAATAAAACCTAGTTAAGATTATTTATTGTAATGATAAACAAAGTTTTATAATTATCTTGAGAAAAAGGCACACCTAAACAAGAGCTATACTAAAGCTTATTCAAAGACTAAGAATACTTCCTAACATCTTTGGCTACACGCGATATCATCGTTTTAAAAACACATTTTAAGGATCTTAAAGATTACGGTAGATAAATACAAAACAAAATGGCAAGAAAAACCCTAAACTAAAGCCGAAAATTTAGAAACCGTGACCGTAGTACGAAAGCACGAGAAATAAGCGCTGCTTCATTAAGTATAGTGGTAAAATTCCAGTTTTAAGGGGAAAACAAATTCCCTCATTTATCGCTGCTTCTTTCTTTTTACATTATTTTACCTTTACGCTCGTTGGCTGTTAAAAAAAGGCTCGAAAAATCCCGTTAGTGTCAGCCAATCAGTAGTGACATAAGGGATAAATTAGGACCCATTTATAAAGAAGGGGAATTTTACTAATGTTTAAAGCTTGGCATCGTCCCTGGTGTTTGCAAGAGAAAAAGTTATGAATACGGTTGTTTTTCTAATGAATATAGATGTTGCCTATTTAGTTTCGTGTTCGCAGAAGCTTCTGAAAAAATGTAACAATTTTTCTTTCGTCTACACAGAGTGATTTAGGAAATGAACGGTAAGAAAAAAGGACAGAGACATTTATTTTAAGAACGGTGCACGCATTCATCCTTACACTGCCAAAGAGCTAAATTAAACTGCGTAATCAGTTTCCAAGAACAATCTTTTATTAACAAGTCGAAATTGAAAAATTCCATTAATGGAAATCCACGTATTAATCCAGGTTGACTTTTAAAAGAGACTTAGTTTTTCAGAATTAAAAGTTTCCTCTACGATGAATGTTTAAGTTTCATTTTTGAAGCATAGACATTTTTAAAATGTTTACTTTTTTAATATTTCCTTTTTTTTCTCATAATTTTACTTTTGAAACGTAATTTTTAAAAATACATAAATTTTTTAGCATTTCCAAAATGCGTTTGAATTTGAATTTTGAAATTTTGTCAAATGAATTTTGGTTTAAGTGCAATTCGACTAATTTCAAGGTCAGCATTGCAGGTCACTAAAAATACTTTTTAAAAGAATTTATTACGGATAAAATTAGATTGATAGTTCTTTAAATTCCAGTTAATTAAGTTTTATTTAATAACGATGTAAATATGAAATCTATGCAAAAGTAAAGGCCGACAATAACAGGACTTGGAGGATTCNCAATATGCATTATATAGTACGTGAAAGTACCACAAAATTAATTGGAGTATGAGACAATTACACTAACTAATAATCTGCATTGAAGTAATAAATTACCGATTTTTCTATATATTGAATTATTTTTTATCTCTCACAGGACCTTCTATGGGCCGAAGCGAATGTTTCCCCCTAAAATTATTCCTCATAAGGCATATATTCCACTAGTTTGTTTCAAAATTGGCGAGTCACACTTCCCTAATTTCCCTTGTAAGTGCAATTCGACTAATTTCAAGATCAGCATTGCAGGTCACTAAAAATACTTCTTAAAAGGATTTATTACGGATAAAATTAGATTGATGCTTCTTTAAATTCTAGTTAATTTCGTTTAATTTAAGAACGATGTAAATATGAAATCTATGCAAAAGTAAAGGCCGACAATAACAGGACTTGGAGGATTCCACCTAGTCATGATTGGTATCAACAAAATAGTCCAGGGGCTGCCCTGGAGCTAAAAGGTGATGGGAAACTGCAGACAGCTCTCACAAGACTAATCAGTGGTCATACCCGCACTAACATTTGTTCAGGGTCAAATTACTTTCCCTGTATGCCTAAAATGTAATGAGCACCGGGTTACACCTGATCATTTGCTGTCCTGTATGGGGTTAGAGAAGAATTCTATCTTAAAGGGCTCGGCGATGGCATATGATTTTCTGTCGGTGAATGGTCTTCTGGACTTGGTCTAGCCTTGTTCTGGGCCAAGTGGAATAGATAACAACAGCAATACGATGTAAATATGAATATTGGTCAACTCGTTCCATCGTTAAATCTTCATTTGACTTATTTCATTTAACCTCTCTAAATAATGGTCCTTCATCACCATACTTCAGCTAATGAACTTTTTTGATACAACAGGTAGGTAACATAATTTCTGGATGGCCTTCAAAGTAATTACGGGAAATTTGTTTCTTTTTTTTTGTAACTTAAGTAAAAAGTGTTGCACTCATGTAAATTCCAAATGAGTGAGAATCACTTTAGCTACGAGTGTCACCCGTAGTTTTATCTTTTATGTCACTCTCTTCGTGTCACCTCTTTCTCAGTAACATTCGAAATAATGCAAATGCTTTCATTATGCATGCCATATATAGTAACCAGTCGAAAAGATCAAAGCTAATGATTTATCAATTAAAATCTAAATAAAATTAGTTTTTCAATTTTACCATAAAAACGAAACCTCCTTACCTTGCAAAAAATGAGGCAGCTGCCGAGGGCTGAGCTGCTCCAAATGTACTTGGACATGGCGAACTAAAAGATGTTCCTTGAAGAAGGGAATGATGGGAATAGCCAGAAAAAGATAATGAATGCGGAATGGATGAACAACTAGAAGGCATTCCCATGCAGGAAATTCCAGCATGACTGGGAGAAGCATTACTACCACTGCTAGTGGCGCCACCAATTGGTGAGTATGGACTCGCCATAGACAGTTGATGTCTTGGACTGCCTAGTGTTTGAGTCATATTGTGCTCTTGTAGGGCTTTCTGGCTCATAGGGGTCTGAGAACTGGACGGCCCCGAGGTTACAAAGGATGATAAGGTCGAAGAGAGTATTTGCTGTAAAGTAGATTTCAGAATAATTATTTTATCAATCAATCATAATAATTATTATCATCATCATAATTATTATCAATCAATCATAATAGTTTTCTATAAATTTCAAAAAAATATAAACAATAATTTTAAGAGATTCTAACGCCACAAAAAATGTCATCATATACTTTAGTGTTATCTTGCAATCTTTCAAGCAACTCAATCAAAATCAAAAATTACGAAAACATATGTATATGATTCCCTTATGAGTTTAGAAATCTAAAATTTTAATGAAAAAAATGTAGCAGGGAACTTTAAGTGCAAAAGATAGGTCTATAATATGTTTCGAAACATTTCGAAACATATTATAGACTATATGTTTCGAAATATTTCTTTTTTAGAATTCATAAATATATTCTAAATTTATTAATAAAAAATCGTCCATCAAAATATCATTAAAAAATTGTATTATAACTATATATAGATATAACGAAGTCCGTAATGGAGGTTTCAGTACTAGAAATTATATTATTTTCAGTCTTTAAAATGTGAAAGAAAATTTAATTTTATAAATTAAAGTACAGAATAACGTATATTCTCAATTATGTTGCTGCAGTTAAATGTAACTATTCTTCCAATACATAAATAAATTATCTTTCTTGCAAACATTATTACTGAATCTTTAAAAAAAATTCGTTGCATAAAGTGACAAGAAATAAAGTATATAGTATTATATAGTAAAGTATATAGAATAAAGTATATAGACAAAAAGTATATTACATAAGTATATACTTCTATAATAAAGTATATTACAAGAAATAAGTATATAGTAAAATATATGGAATGAAGTATATAGTATTGTGCATGTAAGCTTAGTATAACTTATTAATTTACCTTAATAATACTGATGTGAAAAACCTTAGTAACAAAATTTATACTCAGTTGAAAAAAAATACATCAATTTCGTTTTAATAAATCTCGTATAAACAAGTTATATTTTTTACATTAAAATTGAGGTTTCATCAAATATGGTCATTACTGCTCTCCAAATCTTTGTATTTTAACTTCGGATATATTATCTAACCAGAGAAATCAACTGTCTTCTCTAAACAATAGTTCCTTTCAACACTCATTTTTCGATAATTTTTAACTATAATAGAGTGAAAAACATCTGGTTGAAGTTAAAATTTTTTTTTCACAGATCCAAAAGTTTTTCAAAATAAGAAGAATTTCTATAGCATGTCATGAAGACACGCGTCTGAGTGTCACAGCGTCGAAAAACAAATCTAACCCAACCTTTTTCTGAATAATTATCATTATCATAAAACATATCTGAGCACATTTTAAAATATATATAGTACATGTTACTGTGAATGACCGAAATCGGTAGTTGTTGACTTTCACAGGTGAATGTTGACAATCACATAAACGCTTTGGTGAATGTCAGAAATATTTATTACATCCGATTCGATATTAGTTTATTCGTGGATATAATTACATTTATTCGATATTTTAATACTTACTGACGATAGATTAGAAGAAATATGAGTGTTTGGAGTATCACGCAAATATATGCCAGGCAATGGCCCTTGACCTTTAAAAAATATCAGTGTAGGGTATACCAGGCAATGGCACTTGACCTTAAAAAAACATCAGAGTAGGATATACCGGGCGAATGTATACCAGGCAGTGGCAGTTAACTAGACCTAGTATATATTTTGGACATTTACCAAGGGTCAACTACTACAGNGCCAGGCAATGGCTCTTGACCTTAAAAAAATATCAGTGTAGGGTATACCAGGCAATGGCACTTGACCTTAAAAAAACATCAGTGTAGGATATACCGGGCGAATGTATACCAGGCAGTGGCAGTTAACTAGACCTAGTATATATTTTGGACATTTACCAAAAGTCTAGTCATACAAGGTCCAGTTAAGTGCAACTGCCCGTTATACATTTGCCCGGTATACCCTACACTGATGTTTCTTTAAGGTTCAGTGTCAATGCCCGGTATACATTTGCCCGGAATACCCTACACTGATGTTTATTTAAGATTCAGTGTCACTGCCCGGTATACATTTGCCCGGTATACCTTACACTGATATTTTTTTAAGGTCAAATGCCATTGCCTGGTATATATTTGCCCAATACTCCAAACACTGATGTTTCTTCTAATCTATAGTCAGTAAGTATTAAAATATCGAATAAATATAATTATATGAAAGAAATATCAACGAATAAATTATTATAAAATTGGATATAACAAATATTTCGGACATTCACCAAAGTGACTATGTGATTGTTGACATTCACCAGTGAAAGTCGATATTATCCAGATTTCGGTCATTCAGAGTAACACATATACATCTTAAAAGTAAAATCTTTGCTGTCATACGTTATGTTGTTATATTTTGAAAGCAAAGTATTCTTATTAATTCTTATTTTTATTAATATCTAATAGTTTTTTTTTTACAATGTAACAGTGTTTATGTAATATTAGAGTATGGTGTGGAGTTTTTTTATAATGTAAAATTTTTAATGTAATGTTGGAGTATGATGTGTCAGTTTTTTTAATAATGTAAAACTGTTAATGTAATAATGTAATAATAGAGCATGGTGTGTTGGGTTGTTTTTATAATGTAGCGTTACAATTTAAGAAGCGAAGATTATTTGTAATAGGGATACATAAAATGTAGTTACATTTTCTATTTTTTTCTGTTTAGTTCTGTAAAATATAATCCGTAAAAAACCATTTTTTACAGGAAAGCAAATTTATAGCACAAGAAATAAAAAGAATTTTTCAATGGCACCTATGAAATTGAGTTATACATATTTCTCATAAATATCTCACTACTATTGAAGAAGTACATAATACCTCGCACAAAGAAACTGAGTTTCTACTAAAAGAGTAGCCTCTAACTCAGTTTACTATTTCAGTTTTATTATCCATTTATTCGTTCATTCAGTTATTTCATAAACGACTACAATTCACGCACCTGGAAAATATCTACTTCAGGAACTGGCAAAGAAAAAAACTTGAAATAAAGAGATCTCAGAATAGCTCGTAAGAGAAAACCATATTTTGAAAGCAGTTCAATAAAGGATTTAATCATAACACGCGCTTTTTATTACTTTATTATATCAAAGGAATTAATAACTTTATTTTTTTCCAGGAGGAATAGTAGTCTAGTAACTCAAACACACGCTTTATTTCAATATTTTATTTTATTTGAAATTCACTAAGCATATAAGAAAAGTTTCAGTAAAAATAGTAAGATATGAAAAAATAGGAATCCGCAAATTTCAATTACATTTTTCTAAAGAATTTAAATTAAAAAGGAGTGTTAATGTTTAGGAGTGTTAATGTTGTGCTTCCTAATAAAAATTGCTAATTAACTCTCCTGCTTTGATTTTGAAGTAATTTTAGGACTGCTAACAAGTTAAAATTTAAGTCTTTCAGATTCGATCCTTTTTGAAAATGGTAGGAAATTTAACTTGCCTTGCATGACCTTGGAAACATAGGACAAACCAGACACACTTTACACTTTAGACTTAAGGAAGACGATAGATATGTCCGTTATCAAGAATACAATAAATCATCAATTGTCGCACATTGTTGGAACCTCTGGCACAAATTCAATTTCGATAATGATAAAATTATTTTCAACAAGGGAACACCAGGTTCAATACCACCAGAGGTATTGATTAGTAATGGGAATTTGGAAGATTTTGTGACCTCGACTGATTTAACGTGCACCAGTCACCATTTAATACATGGGTATGAAAACAGTTGCATAAATATGAGAATTCAATATGCAATGAATAAAATAATGATTACACATTTACCCACCATTCTTCATTTTCTGTTTAAATTGTCCGCTCTAAGTTTTATTTATTTTTATCAGTATTTCGCACTATCTATTAAAGTTCGTTTGTACTTCATGCATGCTTTGTACTTCATGTACAGCAAGCATATAATAAATCGACGCTGCCTTTATCGACTCAGCAATAGTTTCTTTTTCAGAAAATTATCTAAAAGTAATCCTTGTTCTACGACTTCGGTCAGGTTCATGAATAGACAGAATTTTCCGTCGTGTCTCATTTGCCCAAAATTATGCTATGATATATTTTGTTCGGAATGTGGTTACCATTTATTAAACCATTATGACCCGACGAAGAGAGGAAAATGAGTCTTAATTATTTTTCAAGCACATGGTAGGGAGCTGGTAGGATATGGAAGTACAAAAATATCACGACATTAAAAAATTAGATGATTTTGAAGTTATATAAAATAAACAGTATTTTTATTTATAAAAAAACGGAGACATTTTTTTAAATATACATACTATAACTGATATATAATGCTACATTGTTATAAACTATTATTATAACTGTCTAATTTGCTGTCGCCTCACTGTGGGTGCTAAGTTGAACCATACTACCGTACTTCTTAAACTTAAATATATAATACTACAGTTAATTTTTAACCAAAACAGGGTTCGATTCAACATCTTATTAAAGTTGCAGCACATCTGCTTAGTAATATGTTTTAAAGTATTAATTTTATGGTTAGACATTGTTCAGACTTCAATTTAACATCGTATTAAGGATTCAGCCTTTTTGCTTAGTAATATAATTTAAGCTATTAATAGTATGGTTAAACATTTTACAGATTTCAATCTAAAATCTTATTAAGGATGCAGCACATTTGTTTAGTAAGGTTGTTTAGTTTATTTGCTTAGTTTAAGGTATTAATATTAGAGTTCAACATTGCACAGACTTTTGTACAGAGTGAAATGTTATTCCAAAACACGTAATTCCAGGAAAACCAAAATAGTTAAAAGCAAACCATCGTAATAGCATTTAAACTTAACATGTTCACTAGTTAAATACAAAATCGAATGTATAATGAGCTGCAATAAATTGAATCATTGCATAAAATTATTGTGACATAAAAGAGGCAAAGTTACTTTGTTTAATAACTGTCTCCGTCTGGTAGCCATAAATCTGTGCTTTATCTCTCT